ATCTAATGTTCTTAATAATATGAACTTCGCTAGTGGTCGAATCCCGTATAGTGACAAGATTTTAGTGGCCATAGAAAAAGCAATAGTTTCATTAGTGCGTTTTCAATTGCTGATTTTATGTTGCCCGTTTATTGAATGGAAAATTTGATATGGTTATGTAGAATGCAGAAATTTATCTTCCTCCACAAATATCCGTCTCTAGGTAAGTAAAAGTAGGGTTTGTATACCAGCTGATTGCTATAGCTACGAAAAATATAGCCACCACTTCCCTGAATAGGGACGTGCCTGCGTTGTATTTGTTTTTATGGAGGGACGTTAAGGAGGCCATAACAAATATTCTATTTTTTATGCTCTAGAGGCTCTTCAGGTGTGTGTATATGCTCCAATAGCTACGTTTCTATGAATAGTGGTCCGGCAGGAAGCATAACAAAATATACGCATTTTCGCCATTACATTCAAGTACCCAGTTACGATATTATGCCGCGTGTCCCATAGAATATGCTTTACGTATATACGTAATATATATATTATACGTAAATAGGGCTACCCCAGTGCACGAATTGTTAAGCGTTGAAATCTATTGTCATTATTTGAGTAATGTCACCAATCCTGAAATTTACGTATTAGGAAGCACTCTTTTGTTGCTTTTTACATTGTGTATTTTGGAGTTCGCCAAACAAAAATAAGTTACTTAGATAATTAATAGTCTGGTTCATCTATGCCATGGTATTTGTACTGCACCTGTAATATTATACATATGTATATGTACATATATATACAGACAGCTTTTAAGCCTTGACACAAGACAGTGGTCTTACGAACACAACCTTGTATATTCAAAAAATATACTCAATGCTGATGCATCAGTGATCCCTTTGCTATAATAAATGATCAAGGCCAATAACTCGGAGTTTGTGAAGATGCAGAATACCGAATTGGTTTGTATAAATGAATTTTGATGATGAGTTATTATTAAGGTTGGGTCTAGTGGAGATTTTCACTGCAAGTTTACTAGACAAACTCATCGAAGTGAACGTTAATGTTTTATACACAAAATAACTTAATTGCTTGTTGTCGCGAAATAGCTTAAGCGTACCTCATCGATCATACATTATGACATATATTATAAAACGATAGAGAAAGCAAGCAATATTTTCTTGCCGTCTTGGGCAAACTAATAACAAAAGTAAGGCACTTCTGTTATTCGTTTGAAATAAATCATGGCGTTATTTTTGTGCGTAAACTAGTAGGCTTGACAGATCTCTTGAATGTTTTGCAATGCCTGTATCAAATAATTTAATTCTTCTGCATTAGAAAAACTTCTCTTTTGAAGCGAACTGGGACGTCTGACCTTCAGGAGTTGACACAAGACGTATGTAGGAAGTCGCCAACTTTACTGATGTAGGCATACATACATCTCTGTTTCAGGCAGTCGATTCCAACACTTGCTATGTAAGTTTACCTGAATATTCTAGTTGCGCATTGCTCGTTTACGTGAATATTGTTTATATGAGCCAAGTTAGCTTGACAGTGGCCTGAAACTTACTTTACTATTTTATCTAAGGCGTACCTCATGCTCATGCTCTATGCATGCTCGAATGAGGCAACGCTAAGAGACCTTTCCCTTTTTAGAATGCGACCTGGGCCACGGTTTTGTGTCAGCATATTTGTGCCAATTACATTAGCTAGCCAATAGTCGATAGGTTTTTTTTTATCATTTAAGTGTATATAAGGATACCCCTACTACGTATGCATGCACACGCCAGACGCATGTCTTTATATATATCGAAAGTAGATTATTGATAATAAATAAAATAATGATCATTATTAATGATAAAATTATTAGATAATAAAGCTTAATGAGCTTACGAGAAAACGAAATAATAAGGCAAAACACCTACTTTAGGGTCTCATAGAAAATAAACCCTGATATTTGGGACAGAAGCTAAATACTTATTATCTTATCTTGCTTTAGTAGATGACTACGTACACGAATGGCTTTACGTTCAGGGCTTTTAGAAGATAACAGTTTCTATTTTCAATATTTCAGTATGCGCCAGAGCACAGTATCTCAATTTCAACCGTCGCGGTAAACGAGGTTGACTTCAATTCGGTTCAGCTAACTCCTCAATAAACTAGGCGCATATAATTAATAATACCGGGTATTTTGATCACCTTTTTTTTCGAATAAATAGACACTGAGGAGAAAATCACAAACGAATTTTCTTAAGTATGATATATAATAACCTAATAAAATATCCACCAGCTTAAGCTAACTTTACATACAAGGTCGTCAGGCAAATACATGCTGATGTTAAATAAGGTTGTACACGTACGAAATCTTTTTTTATCAAGCTTACAAATATACATCGGTTTCTGTAGCTCTGTCATTTTAACCTAACAGACAAAGAGTTCCTTTATTCATGGTACTTGTTTGAACTTTCTTGCTTCACGCTTATTAAATTAGTGGGGTTCATGAAATTGGTCATAATCCATAGAAGTGCTTTGCGAAACAATCCACCTTCAAAAGTGTGAATTCGGCTCATCACACCCTTTATTACTGCTGCTGTAACTAAGACAACTATCCTATTAAGCTACAGAACGTTTCAATACTAGTTTGAAAAGTGATAAGAAAAAATAAATAAATAATTAAAAATAAAAAATAATAAAAAAGAAAAAAGACAAATGTTATACAAACAAAGCTTTAACTAGATATATAAAGGTACCTTAATATTCCAAATCATAGCGTACGATCGTCTGACAAAATCCAAACACCCAGATTCGCATTTGCCCACTCTACTGGCCCTATACGTACTGAGTTAAAAGGCAGCTCAAAGCTTATTGCTAGCATACAAAATGTGTAACTCTCTTGGCAGGAACATGGTACATTTCACGCAACGGTTTTCCTTTAAATACTCTAAATAAAACTATCTGCTAACGGCCTAACTATTCTATTTTAGGTACGGACCAGCCATAGCCAAATCCTACCGAAAAACCCAAATTCCTCTCTATTGTGAAGCTATATATGACACTTACGCACACACGAGCTGCCAATACAACGGATTCTTGTATCAAAAAGTGTGTACTGTGATACTACAATGGGGCTAGACTTGTTCGTACATGCAATGAACTATGATCTAACCGATAGAGATTCACAATAGCGATTCATTTAGTAGGAATCGAAGAGATGTGAAGCCCCCTATATTTCTATAAATCTTATCCAGGTCATCGGCCGAATTTGGTCCACGTGCACCTGCTATACCTTGTAATGAAAAATGTTATGTTGAATGTTAATAATTATGCCTATCGTTTTGACGTATACATCGTTCATTAAGATATAATTAAATAATGTATCATACATCTTTTTAACAGTGTTTTCGAAGTGTATAGCGAAAAACGGGTGATTTTGGCAATAGGCTACCGAGAAGGTCTGGGGTAGCTGGAACTAAGAAGCAGAAACGGGAATGCAAATTGTCATACGTACTCAAAGAGACTGCGTTTACTCTGGTGGTATCTTTTTCGATAAACGTATGTATTCACGCAATGCATCGGGCACTGCTTCAGCGCAGCGAGTGACATTTCAGCGATTTGGTTCATTTCTCTTGCAGAATGTAGCAGTCTATACTTTTTGGTTACTATACTACAATGCTAACTGTACATTTGAGGTCATGGTATCTTCGACGCTCGCGACGTCGCTAGAGGATCCTTTTCGAGGATTTTCATAATCTCTTTCTTTCTAAGGAATTGCTTAATTTTACTTTCTGAGAAACTATGCCCGAAGGTGAGAAACGAGTTTCTGCTTCGGTCACAACTAAAAAGATCGTTGAGATGTAGCATATTCATCATTGCCTATATTAGTATCCTCATTTGGCAGCGTTATAAACTGTATACGGATAAATACATGTAATACCTATAATTTTACAATTGGAAATGGTTTTGGGACGGTTTTTTAGGTAATGCCGTGCCTACACCAGAACCTACTTCTGAGGGTAGTTTGTTTTTTCTGACGTGAAACTCATCCCAAGTCAAAACATTGGGTTAATCAAAAAGTAGTCTCAGCCTTCTCGTCCACATAGAGCAGGAGACAGAATAGCCCGCCCTGGAAAACAGTCGGCCTTCTACTTGGAAAAGTACAATGATTTGTGTGTAGTGGGACTGGAAAGAACCTACTGGTTATTAGACTCCGACATTAGAAATAGTGTAAGCACAGTAACGAGTATGCGCGAGCATCGCCATACTGTGACTCGATGTAAAAAAATGACATGGTGAGCTGCAGGCATTAATTCGCGTTTTTATACAAATTTTGAACAGCTCATAGATTTGTAGTTACAAACCTTGTTAGTAAATGAAGGCGCTGTCGCATCTGAGAGCGGGTCCAATGTTTTCTGTTGGAAAAACAATCTTCATCTTTAATTACCATTCGAAAATCTGTGCTTACTGCACACATTACCGTACGATACTGGATAGGGGTTTTTAGTGATCGCGCAGATCGCAGGTAAAGTAGTGCCTCTACTTGCACTAAGATCTAAATCACACGCCAAAAAAAAATTGTTCCTCCGGAATGAGAAGATCTATTTACTGACGCGAAGAACTGATCGACTCGTGATAGATAGGCCATAGAATTATGATTAATTTTGGGTTAAAAGTACTCCTAAAAACTAAATTGGATTTAAGATTTTGCTGGATGCAGAAATTTCTGACTAGATACGACGACAATACACTTCGTTGCATAGTGCAGTAGTGAGTGGCTAAACAATTTGCTAAATTACGAATATAGAGGTAGATATTCAAGCAATTATGATAGATATAGATAATTAAGGACTTTATGAGTATCTTATATTGTAACTTATATAAGGCAGAAGACAGATCAGATCAGAACTAAAAACAACAACTATCTTATAATCACTATATATTCTTGTTTTTTTTTTGCTTATATAGGTCACAGCCGATAGATTTTGCCGTCGTTCGACCAACAAATATGACTCAAGAAATTATTTCGAAGTAGTTTTCTGTATAACTAAAGTTCAAAAGCGTCAGCTTTCCGGGTCGTAACATAGCTCGTAAATGAGGTAAAAATGGCGGTAGCAGTGAGTCTTGTTCAGGCCATGGCATCAATCGCTACGTTGAATAGTATGTATCATTAGTAAATACGGAAACATACCGAAGTACAGAAATGTAAAGCTAGGAATGTTATTTAATTTAAGTTACTTTATGCACAATATGCTATATAAGGGTGGTTTTGCGTACGACAAATTCTGTTTAGGCCACTAAAGGGAGTCTAAAGAGTGTTACTGAATCTTTCCTTTGATCAAATTTTAAAAGGTAGAGCTATATGAAATACTATTGGCCTTTGAGCGATAAAAAAGAAACAGTATTTCGTACTGCTATCACAGTTTGATCTGGCCCAGAGAGTAGACTTGCAGTAGATAATAATAATATTTTAAGAAATTCGTTATAATTATATTACATGCCCTACGGGTCAGTATAGGCTGCTGTATACTAGGCATATCATAAACGGCATATGGTTTTATATATGCTTAGAATGACGCAGAGATACAATTTGGTGCGTATAGATTTGGCAAAACGGATCGCTCAGCTAAAACAACATTCGTTGGTATTCATGGCCACTCAATGGCATGAGAAATATAAATGGATAGTAGATAAATCATAATCTGCATCTGCATAACTTGCAATAAGTAGTTATAAAATATTGCCTTTCATACAAGGAGTCGTTTTTTTTGAGTGTACGAAGTGGCCGATATAGGTCTCTGGCCTAGAAAACTTCGTTGTGGGGCAATATATCGATCAACGAGATAGGGGCCTCGAACTGTGGCTAACATAAAAATCGTTATTAAATATATCAGTGTAATTTTTTCGTCTAGTACCGGTTGTTTTGAACGATAGCGTTAAGTAAAAATTGGTTTATTGCACCCTTTCCTATATGTATAGATTGGAGTGAAAAAAAATTGACGTAAGCAACAGGTATAAGGGTCTGTTTGATGTATGTGTGAGTTTTTTTTTTGTCAGTAAAGCGATACGACTCGCATAGTATTTAGACCTGCAGAAGGTTATGCAGATTTTTAGAAACACTTTTGAACACGAAACACCTAACGACAGTATTTGTACAGGCACATGGAAGCGGGCCTTCCTAAAATGATCATTACTGACATACTGAAGCACGAAGTGCAACTTCGTTAGTGAAGAACAATTTACTATCAAACACGAAGACGTTCAAAACACACTGTAAAGTATTATTCTGGCGGCATCTTGTCGAGTGTATTGGATCAGCAAAACATTCCCGTCAGTGAAAATTAGGATCAGTAAAAAATACGTTTTTTGAAATGGCTATAGAATTCACTGACAGTATTATATAGTCAATATGTACTTCATTCTGATTATGCTCCTTTTGTTGCGTTGCATGACGCGAACAGCGGTACACGAGATGCAAACACACGGCCGACGTTTTCTGTAACTTTTGGCGTTACAACAATTTTTCTTACATATCAGAACCGTATCACAAGCCTCACGAAAGGTAATGTGCACTTAATCATTTCAGCGCCAGGTCTCTGCAGTTCTGATTCTATAGCAGCCACAATTTTTAAAAAAATCCTACAAACAGAAGGGACAGATCCGCTACGCCTCAGTGATATGCACACAGAGAAAGGATCAACGACAAACGTGAGTGTAATTGTAGACTAACATGGTTCGGCGAGTTTTTCTATAGATTAGTGTATAATAGTAATTAAATAGAACAGGCAAAGGGCGACATGAACATGGTTACTATTACTTGAAATGTTAGGACGCACGCAGTATTCTATGTAATTTCAGCGATTCGAAGACACGATATTCATACCCGATAACATGTGGTAAAGTACGAAGGCTGTCGAGTTTCATGTTCGATAAATGTCTAGAAGATCGTAATCGTAACAACTGGGGCGTTCTAACAATAAGACAATTAAAAAATTTAAGTGGGCATTGGGTTCAGTGATACGCACATCCTAACTACAGTCCACGGATCAAGTTGAGTTGAACAGATCTAGTTATGCTCTTAATAATTAAAGTTTACGTGACCACCGCTATTTATAAAGCTTATTTCCCTGAATTCGTTTTCTTGAGATATAGTCGTCAGATTTCATAACTATACTAGAATTCAAAGTGGGTAAAAAATCAAGCCTTGAATTGTCACGAGTTGATAACTAATAAAATAGAGTTATGATCGTCCTTTGAAGACCTTAGGGACACATAAAGAACTCTACCTGCAGTTATTTTGACGACCGGATGTCCCTTTACCTTAAATAAACAGAAAAAAGGCATTGGCTTCTAAATCGTTTGCATAAAAATTCGCAAAAAAATTGCAAAATATCATAAAAACTAAAGGCTTAACTTAACGATCTTTTTTTAACATTCATATATCAGTAGTGGCCCGGGCAGAGGGCAATGCGCAACCACATACGATTCTAGAGGGAGTCGTTTGAGAATGTTACGCGTGACGAGGGGGCCGCAGCTTTATGCAGAGGCGAGAGGTGCCATCTTTATCCCTAGATACGAAGCAGACAAAATAATGATTACTTCTAGAGGGTAGACGTAAGCTAAATCTGTTCCAGAAAACCGTAATTTGCATTTAGTGATATTGAAAGGAAGGAAGGAAGGGTCCTGTGCACTGGTGAATACTTGATAAAACACACGGCCTAAGAAAGTTCTGATATTTTTGCCAAGAAAATGGGTTTTACCACATCTGCGATACCACAGAGATGCAAATACTTTTGTAATCGTTGATAAAAATATCTTTCCCTAATTAGGTACCTTTAGGGTGCGAAGCAATTTTACGGTTATATGCAAACGTCTTGCGTAAAAAAAACGTGTTGTGATACTACGTATCGGTGTGACATCCACCGAATTCCAGAGGAGTTTACGAAATAGATGAAGTTCTGTGTGTGAAATTTCGTCGAAGCGCAGTGAAGTAAACTACTCAGGTTAGCCCAATGTCACTCACACACACAAAAATAATAGGACCTAGGCCTAAGTGCCTAGCTATGAAATTCCGCTGAGGTAAAATTTATGAATAAAAGCGAATTGCAGTATAGCTTGGCATACAGACAAAGCGATATTTTTTTCATGATAAATTATTTTGAGTTAGTTTTTATTATTATTAAATTATAATTAGACTTAGATTTAGGAATCGAGCATAGTTAGATACTGACACTTACTTTACCCGTAAACACTGAGATCAATGCTGTTTTATCGAACCGAATGCCCTCGATTATAGAAGCAAAGACATCACAAGGTAGCCTAGGAATAACACCAGAGATTATAATTATAATCTTTATAGCCTTTCTTTAATAAACCTTATAGTCATTAGCGCCACAACTAACGTCCGCTCCATATTAAATGATTGCATAAGTGGCCGTTAATATTAACACGCGTTTTTCAGATCCTGTTCCACGGCCTCAGAAAAATGGAATTGTCTAATTCTGCCGAATTCTGGAGGGACAACAATCAGGATTTGGGGGTTCGCTTTTCTATCGAAAATCTGAGCAAATCTGCACCGTGCTATATGACTGCCAATTACAATGTTAGATTTTTCTTACTGCTTATCTTACTTTATTAAAAACATTTTATAAACAAATGATCTTGGAATTCTGATAGTTTTAGTAGTACAGCCACGAGTGTCAATCCACAATGACATAATTAATTCGAAAACAAAAAAGTTGTCTGGATTGAAATACAGACAATAGCTCAGAACAGAAAAAAAAATCTAATTATAATTAGTCCAATATATTTATTGTAGGATGGTTTACAGGTTAATGCAGGTTATGGTCTAAACGAACATTGTAACAACTAACAATATACCAGCAGATTCTAGCAGCAGGACGGCACCATGTAGAGCCGATGTGATCATACGTAACCGACGAAGGCTATACAAATGGCTGTATGTCCTTCGTCTTCACCCTAGTAACTACTAGGATAATGCAACAGACGTTTGGCGAAGTTAGAAGACTTTGATCGGGGTCTAAAGCGTTAGCTCACCACAACCCACCTTCGCCTTCAATACCAGTTTTTATAGGTAGTTTTCTCTCTGGTTAACAGTTTCTTCTTTCTGGGAACATGACGGTACATCTTAACGACCTAAGGATTGGCATCAAAATAAAAATCGCCAAAAAAACACAAGTGGTAAGCATACTTAACAATATAATAGTGCCCTGGCTGAAATTGAAAGCTCTTACAAGATAATAATATAATAAGTATAATAAAAGAATAAAGAAGTAGGTGCATGAACGTTCCAGCAAAATCTGGATAATGTCTCTCCTTCAAATGCATTTCTGTTAAATAATCAGTGGAATTGCCATTCGCTCCTATAATTTGCTTAATTATAATTGACCTGTGTTAAATTCTTGCGTCAATCCACAATAACTGTGTGATATATATATATATATATATATATATTATATATATATATATACCTGCTAATCTTCTGCGAATATGCTCTATGCAAAGTCTAATGGACTAGCCTAGTAACAAGTTAAGCACCCAGAAAGATGCTCCATTGGTGGAAAACACGCATATCTAGCAATTTTTGCACGTTTGTAGACCTTTCTCGAGGGTCTAAACCTGCAAACGCATTTGCAGCCTCGTTTGGCACTAAACTAGACCTAAAGGGGTTGAGGCGGATCTCGTCAGGCAATATCATGGTCAATTGATCAATAAAAAAAATTTCTAAATTTCTTTTCGATTTTTTAATTAAATGTTTAATACAATTTAGGTGCGAGTAATGAACGTCGTGGTCGAAGCGCTTGGGGAACTGGACATAGAGGCGCCGGGATTACCGTCGCGAATGGTTCGTCAGATCGAACAAAAACTGAGAGCAGGCCGGCAGCTTGTTATTGCAAACTTCCGAAATACTCTCCAAAATCGTTTAAATAAGAATCCATGGACTGTTAATATATCGTGCTAGTATCATACTAATAAGCATCAATCCAACTGTGACGTTCCTGCGTAGTTTTAGCCTTTTCGAGAAATGTTGCTATTGTAATATACACTTGCCTGCGTATGCTCTGCATCATACAGTAACCTTCATGGCTAGCCATACCTGTAGAGAATCGATGGACTAATTAAAGGATGAGTAATTATACAGGCTGAGATAAAAAGAAAAAAGACTAGTGGAAAAAATATAATTTTTAAGGAAAACGTTGAGCGTTACAGAGGATAGGGGTACAACTGAAATAATATTCGTGTGAACTGGAAGCAGTTTTTCATGGAACACAAAGGCTGCTTTCCATATATATCCATATTTTGTATATTTTCGCATGTGTCATGCTTTCTTTTGTTTACAAGGGACATCTGATCAAATTTCTCTGTATAGCTAAAGCGGATACTATGACGACAATATGCCACGCTCGACTCTTGCCCTTGAGGTGGCATTTCTTTGGGACCTTTTATCTACGCCTAAATAAATACATAACAGATTGTTCTCAGAACATACATTTATTCAATACATTTTAGTTAACTATTCATTCGGCATAAATAAATGTCGCAGAAATGAATTATACGCCTCCATTGTCCTTTTCCGAGGCCTTGGATGACATAGGTCATTCTCATTTTTATGACGTTGATGGACTTTGCGATTCATCCAAAGCAAATCAATAACTTTATTGAGCATTTTGTATCCAATTGCGCTGAGAAAGTAGCCATTTTTTTTTTTTCGAATCTTCTTCGCCTCATTATTCAGCAATGACGAGTTCGCAGGCGACTGCTTGTGATATAATAGTTAAGTGCTGTGTTTATATATAAATTTTGTTTCCTCGTTATCTCTTGTCTTTTCTGCGCTTGCACTGTCTCTGTACGTGCAGGCGTTATTACTAAGCTGTTTGAGTTATTTAGATAATTGGCGCTTCTATCCGCTTTTTCATTACGCACCTGGTGAGTAAACCACATGGCTTGGCACTCAGGCATACCTTGGCCTAACCCACTATCATCCTAGCCTAACTGTCAGTACGGTTATTTATTCATAGATAATAGTAATAGAATATAAACTACGTGTAATCGTCATGACGGTAATCTACTTCGACGCGTTGGCGTCACATAGCGCAGTATCGATAATTTGTTACGAATAACTTAAGTACAATGTGGTGTCTATCGTAATTGTATGGTGCCGCATATAATCATTCACATTTACTGGACGTTAATGATATAGTGATTGACTGATATCGAAATGATGCTGTGGTCGCTATAATAATAATATGTGATATTATTTTTTTACCTATTCACACACCGGGCGCAAACAAGTCCGCCTGCATTAGGACCTGCCCACCGTTATTTTCCAATGTTGGTAGCGTTAGTGGAGAAACTGTCTATTGAAAGGGGGATGACATCATAAAGCATGTCATCCAAGTCGATGTCCTTCTGTATATATATATATATATATATGGTAGATAAATATTTTCTCCCTGGAATTTTCCTCAGACATAGAGACGTGCCCATACCTTATTTGTAACGTACACCTTAAAAACAGCGAAAATAGCAACATTGTATATATATATATATATATATATATATATATACATATATATATATATGGCTAGGTGACGTATTTTATGTCGCCACGTGGCGCGATGGAGATGATAAAAACGATCGAACCGGCAGCTGTCGTCGAGTGACTATTATCTCATTGTAGCTACCAAGGGTATTCGGTGCATCGGTTTTCTTGATGGTGCGCTCATTTATGTTCATATGATCCTATTGAGCGCGTTCTATGTGATATATGTATAATAGCTTTTATATGTATAATCGTTTTCTCTACGTAGTAGACACACACAATACGAAGGCCTTTGCCCATAGCGCAGTAACGCCTATTTTTGTTAAGCGTAGATATGATTGTTTGCAGAGCTCAACGGACCAGCCGTCTCGCGCCGTAATCTAACCGTAAAAATGTCGCATGCTTCCATCTCTCAAGGTTCAACACAATGAGTTCTTAATTCATCAGTAATTACCAGTGCTCCGCGGCTTCTACTTCCCCCGCACCTACTTTCAATATAAGTTGAGCCCTTTTCCGTCCAACTAATCATCTCTCTTACACTTTGCTACCATCAGTTACCACTTAATAAATAACACAAAGTTTAGCCAAATTATTTGAGTTTTATCATCTATAACATACAGGCGTGTCTCGGGGTTAGAGTGCCGTTACTACAGATTTACACACCGATTGCTAGCTCAGCGCACGTAACACTTAATAATAGTTTTGGTATTTTGGTTTTAGTTAAAACAGGACGACATGCATATAAATAACAATGCTCAACGAAATGCTATGTTATCTGTACTTAATTTTCATTATCTGTAAAGTATGTACGTATTTAGTCTACGACACATGTTGTTTCCGTCTTAGCAAATTAGCAAAATGAATGTATTATTTTTCTTTACTTTTATCGATTGCTCTTGAGATCATGAGGTAATTTCAACATTTTCAAACACGATGGTGATAATAACCGGGCCTTTCTATCGGAAGCATCGCATTGCGCACAGAAATTCTTTGGAGTACACCTCGAGAACACGAAACCCGGAAGAAATCATCAGACGACGACATTGGAAAATCATGTTCGTTCGTCAATGTTTGTCCCTTCTCTTCGAGAGGATGAAGCTGGCTAAGCTACCCTTTGGAAGATAATTACTACGCTTTCCCGGGCGAGGGTTCTTCATGTCTCTTCCAACGATTTCCTGGTTCGTAAACAACAGAGACCAGCTTTATGCATTATCGCCTGTAACCCCTATTATCATTTGTCCATTGTGTTTTATATGAAGATGGTATTGCCATGCGTGGGTGGCAAATCCGACCTTATTCACCACCAACTGAATACACCTGTAGACAGATTTTAATAGTTGATGTGCACGTCGCTTTTATCCTGTCTTTAGTTCTGCGTCTTCACTTTGTCTTTTAGTTCAAGTCTACTAGTTTAACTCTTGTTTTATATTAACAAACAAATACACACATACACACTGGGGAACCCAGACATACGTCGAAGAACCCATCGAGACCAGCTCGACACTCCCCTGTCAGCCAGAAACTATCAGTCGCGGTATATAGTAATAAACAAAAAAATAAAGATCAAGCAGAACAAGTTCGTCATCTAACTTTTGTCGCTGTAATGATCGGTAATTGCATCAACCTATTTGAGGTATACATTTCAAATAGCTCCAGAATGCAATAATCTCATCACTCGACGTTACGCGGCCGACCCTGAATGGCTAGCAGGGGGTGAAAAAACAAAGTATATGTACATGGGTTCTCCACGATGCCCTTACAGGGTCCGGTATAGAAGGGTCCAAGCGCGCGCCAACAAGCGATCTCTCCTTACTGGAGGGAAAACTAGTTGGCGTATGCAGGACAAAACTGGTAGACCAGCCGCTGGGATCGTTCAGTTTTCTTCATGATTCCTGTAAAACGTAAGTAAAACAAAAGAAAATTGAGATTAAGACTGGATGAGCTTTGAACGTTGTCGACACATTGTCGAGTTAAAAATTTGACAAAATGAGAGAAAAAGCAGCTTTGTACATCTAAACGAGGATAATTATTCACCCTTGCGGTAGTACTGCCGAATTGAACGGGATAACTTATCGTAGTTCATAGCCGGCCGGTTCTTTCGGCGGCCCCATAGTTTCGCAACGCGAACAGAGTCTTCGATCTTAAAGATACCTGCAAACGCAGCAGTTCAGCATTAATCGTTCTACAAGCTATAGTTCAAAAGCTCTAACGAGCCAGAAAAATCGAAATGTTGGTGCTCTTGTAAATATAGAATGTATTAACATATACGTAAATGTATGTGATATGTACCTTTAGCTCGATCTAACCAACGAATACAGTTGTGATGCTGATGAGGATCAGAAAGAAGCTCCTTGAGGAATTGCCATAGATGAATGTGCTGACCTGCTCCCGAGGGGCCCAATGATCCACCTGATGAGCATTCTTCATCTGGTTCATACAACAAATAATATCATCTTTTTGATTAATGATCACAAACTCCCACGCACGGTTCTTACAGTTTGCTTTAGTAAAATAAAGAGCTTAACACTATATTCGAATGATACACGTCTTGTAGTGCGTCGGGTCTACTATACTTACCATCACTATACCCCTCCTCGTTAAGATCGCCGTACAGCGGCGGACTCGAGTGACCAGGGTACATAGATGAGCTACATGTAGACGCTGCATTCAGTTGTATCTCAAGTCCAGTTGCGCCTCCATATGCGGCTAGAGGGTATTTTAGCGTTTGGGTCCCTGACATTTGGCCTGGGGTAGTAACATGTTGAGCAGAGTACGACGAGTGATGATGCTGCTGCTGGTGCTGGTGCAGTGCGACGTAATCGGGCACCTGCGACAGCTGATAGGGCAGGAGGTCAATGTCGTCCAGCTGCTGATTACAGTCCTGTGTATGCAGCGAACTGAAGCTATTATTGCTGATAGTCGACGTTATTTGCAGCTGTTGCCCATGATGACAAGCGCTGTTATCGCCGGTTCGATCGCTGTTGTTACTGCTATTCGCGTCCGTCGTATTTGCGCTCGTGGCGCAACCGATGGTCTGGGCGGCAGACTTCCAGATGTCGAGATGCGCGCATACGGTTTCGACCATGAGCCGTTGCGCGGAAACCACCTGAGGGCCCTGTTGGAGAGACATCTTTTGGTAGTTGTCGCAGAGTGTCACCAGCCTAGCTCCATTTACCTGAGCAGAGTAACGTAAACAGTATGGTTATGTACTGATTGGATAGGGCATGCTAAAAAGTTCTACATGTCAGAACGTCTCTTCCATAAAGACATTCTGACATGTCGAATCCTAGTCCGTTTAGACTGAAATCAACATGCTATGTAACACACATTATTTTGTATTCGCATAGGCCCGAAAAGGAATATTCCTTATAATAGATATTGGTTGTTTTACCTATTCAATATCTGACGAGCAGTTTGATTTATATTCATATTTGGAACACGATACTATTAAAAAATAGATTGAAATTCTCTGTATATGCATACCTTGGAAAACACATGCATGTGCTCGGCTGCGTATTCAAGTTTTTCTTCTTTGACCAGCCATAGGATCCATCGCTGCACGTCGTGGATGTTCCATGAGTTTGGATCTGGAATAAAAGAAGTCATAATTTTACGTTAATGACGCAGTTCACGAATTCAAAAACTCAATTTATTTGTTTCTTCCCGATCGATTTTAGCCGGAAGTATTGCATTGATCTTACGTTCCATTCACAAGCTTATGTGGCTATACTGTTTGGCTATCTAAAAAGTACAGAAAACCGTGATTTATCGTATTGACCGTTACACTGAATAGGGAATATAGATTTTCTTTATTTAATTTCCAAGTTATATATATATACACACCGTAACTTTTTTTTGTAACTCACTCCGCGGTACGTCGATGCCTCGGTGACAGCGGCGTGAGCATTGATCACATCACAGCCAAAATTAGTTGACTTAACCTTAACCAGTGCTGAACCTGTGTAGTTTGTTTTTCCAACAAACTTATACAAGAGATCTGCGTTCGCTACTCTTGAATTTTTCCTATGATATTATTTATAATAAAGAAATTTACATATGAATTCCACAGGTGTCCAAATCCACTATTTGTTTGAAGCTACTTGTTTCGGCTCAAAATAAATTCAAGGCTACTTCAACCTTATGAAGAGTGAATTATTCGAATAGCAGGCTAGGTACGAATAGCCCCTTCTAATATAGTAACTCAAAAATTGCTGTTCGAAGTAGCTGGCTCATCAGCACAGGACTGGGCTTACCCGAGCTTCAACCGACCCTAGACATCGGCACTCTGCCGCCTATCGGCATGTTCGGTAATGATAAAGAAAAGTCTACAGTGGCCCTCAGCCGCTAAGCCAAAAGCACCTATGTCGTATCGGACGGTACAGGTCGAAGCCGCTCGTACCCGCGGCCAAATAGGGAGCTAATCAAGTCTGCCTAGCCCTGCGCAGCTCGACTTCGGCCAGCACAGCGGCAAACAAAGCGCGCGAACATTCGAAAGGATTTGAGGCTACTGCTAATGCTTCGGGTTCTTGGCCTGCTTCTTCGTCTTTTCGCATGAATAGGTGATGGCGTAAAAGGAGAGAGATGAGCTTGTGTTCTGGTGACGCTGGCGGAATTGAATGTGACGCGAAGGCATTCTGTTAGTTGTTCGTCGTTCGACGGCCTTTCGTTCTCGTTTAGAGGCCCCGACCAATTAGAGTTCTACCCATGGACACAACGCAACCTCAAAAAAAGGCAACGACGACAAGGCAAGTTCGTACAAAAGTTCCGTATAAATGCATATAGCGAAATAAATAAGTTAGTACGTGAGCCGCCAGGCATCAACACCGAATACTATATACCGCGGGAAGTTCTGAGGTGAGCATTATGAAAGGATGGAATTTAAACGACTGAGAATGACGGAACGATAAATACAATAATAATAATAAAACCAAAACAATAAGTGCGGAAAGATAAGAGAAACAAAACTATTAGAAAGCTTAAGGGTTTTTACGCTGTTGAGAGCATATGACCGGGAATAAAGAAATGCTTGGCGAACACGTTCAAGCGATAGCAATGGCAAAGATTAGTTATGTTGTCTGTTGCAAAGTTTCTGAGCGTATGTTGATCCAAAAAACTATACAGAGTAACGCTGAAACTGTTTGATTTAACTAAAAAGATTAAGAAAAATATTTTAAAAAAATAAAAACGAATAAAAAAAGGAAAATCTATGCTGACTTATTATAGTAACTGACGGATTAAAAACACGCACACACCTATAGTATACTGTAATAATCGTCGCACCTAATAAAGTGAAAGGAAATTTTTTGAAAAAACCGCTATTTCCTATGTTTTTTTTGGAGTTACAAAACGCATTATAAACGACCGATAAAATTTGCCGGATGTCTGTCTGAAAACCCGATCCGGGCACATTTATATGCTGGATGTTCTGGTCACCACCTCCCACAATCACCGGCAGGCCTCCTATCGAGATAAGAACCTGTGTACCGGTACCGAGTACCCCGCCTGTATTATGAATGCAATGAGTCCATCATCGTTCACTATCGTATTCATGGTCAATCAGTTCTCTCGACTGACCCATTGGCGTCGCGTCCAGATTTAAACCACGTTAATAGCACTCCCACAGCAGGAGAACGGTGGCGTCGTCAGAATACGCTAACTTAAACAATCGTCACTTCCTTTCGAGATAACAAGCAACGGAATTGGGTCCACTTATTCCATCTTCACGTTTCCGTCTGCCCGATAGCTCCTGTATACTCCCTCTCGGTACGCAGCACCTGAATATAATTCAAGTTCTTTCGCCACAAACAATTTGTACCGGTATTTATGGTCACATGTAAATGTCCACTCAACGACAGTCAATCCAATCGACCAAATAAGGACCAGTCTTGACTCCTGACTTGGGCGTTGACTCCGACAACGGCTGATAGATACAGCCGACTCTAAATGCAGGCTCACCCGTAAGCAATAAGGTAACGTTGACGTCACCATAATCGTGTACGCCATTTGAAATATATGCATATGTGCATGGAAGCATTTTAGCAAACTTTTTAGCTAAAAGAAACCGCTGTTTGGCCAGCCAGCGGCGATCACAGTCAAACACTGAAAATGAACGACCATTTAACGGATACGACCGTGGCGATCGCAACTGGATTGAGCGGCAGTGCGTGCACACCTGGCAGTCACCGACAAGTCCACGGCACCAGGTCCGGAGGCGTTCGGGAGCAGGCTGGACTAACAGCGACGACAACATTAACAAGTCGAAAAGGCAATGTATGCAGGCAAGCATTACTTCAGTGTCTACCTCCTCTTCCTTTTTGTATGAATGTATAATATGTATATATAAGTATAGATATCCAAGCGCCGAATCCCTCAGACAATTTTTTTTGCTCGACGCGAATGAACCAAACTTACGGATAAGCCAATGGGCAAACAGGGCGACTGCACAGAAAGACGGACAAGCTAAACGGGCTAACGACGCTTAAATACGTACGTTTTCGACATCTCATTTGCAGAATGAATACTGGCCTGCTGACACGCTATTGATAGAACAGAAATGAAGGTGATGAGTGGAAACATAAAAGTGCCGCCATCCCGCCCAGTAACCATGCATCTCCAGAATGACAACGGTAAGCAGCAACACTTTCAACAGAGTCGAGCTTGAATAATGGATGGTGGCTAACATTAAGCAAATGCAAGGGCTATGACAATCGAGTGGTTTGTGCCTAATTGTACCACCGACGTCCACTGCCATAGCGCTTCTGTGCTTTAAGGACACCGTGACTTTAGACGAACAATAAATGCTAGTGCTGGAATTATGCTCAAGGCGTGTGAGAACGTTGAACGGTTGTTTCCCAGATCGGACGTTCACAGACCCAACTTCCGATTTGTATCGTACAATGAACACGCGAAGTATCGCCTCTCTAAGTGGATGGTGTTTCTCTCATGTTATTTTTATAGAGGTATCTATAGAAATCGAAACTATGTCGCCGACTTGCTTTCGCGTCAAGTAATTAAATCAAGTGTCATTCGAAAACATTATATATAGCCCACCGCGTAAGATTGTATAGCTTTCCAGATACTGTGTATCCAACCCTCCATGCATGCTGTATATCTACGATATACAATATACTATTTGTTTATTCGATAGTGATCGTCTGAATTTAGTCAGTAATGCATTGCTACGTTAATGGGTGTAACATAGTGTGCATTTGTGCATCTGCATATGAATGGGTATCATAAGTGCCTGACATGAGTATTAAGCTGGTGAAAGTTTTTCGGGTGACGATCTGTGACGCAAACTGTCAATACGGTTAAAATTGATACATCTGTGTACATAAGTAAGCTATCTAACTAACAAATCGGCGATAAACACAGCTTTCGGTGCGCCACTCATACGAACAGACGCGCTCACGAAGCAAACGGAAAAATCGCACCCAGTCTGCACGCGCCAACGGCCGTAAGAACCATAGCAACAGTGACACGCAGCCAGAAAGTGGACTTTCGAGTGGGTGGCCGAAGCCCAGCATCGCACCGGAAGCTTGAACTATCGGCAAAATCATTTTCAGCGGCGATGTACAATAGTACAACAACTCAACAACATACCACCCAATTGTCCGGATTAAAGGAGTGTGTCGGCAAACCAAAACTAGATTGCCTTTAGACGGAATTGCCATATGCAACCGAATTATGGATAACCTAGTCCAGAGTAGCGAACATGCAAGCGACGACCCCTTGACGTACAGCGTCCGGATTAAACGGCCCACGACAAACGAATGATCCCAACTGCATTGAGTACCAACCGAAAGATACATATGGCAAGGATGAGGATCGTTCCGGATGTGAAAAGTCTATTTTGCGCACTGTCTACCAAAGCGTCTTTCTGTGTCTACGTAAAGAAACAAGTATTTCCTGTATGTGTATCTTTGAGACTGAGAACGGCAAACTCGCGAAAAGAAAAGATCTCATGCCATCGTATAAGGTATATTATAGACAAAGGGATAGTTTTTTCTGCTTAAAAAAAACTCGCTCACGGCAGGCATCATCCTTTTCTGGTGGTTCTCCCACCGTATATACCAGTTATATGACTACTGTGAGTAATATTTATTTGCCGTGAACCATATATTAGTCGAACTAAAACTCAATAGATAGGTCCTGCTGTACACCCTATGTGCGACCTATAAAAACTCCGATCTACTACTTTTTCAGTCCATACAATATAGATAAATAGAATGGCTTGATGATAGGCCTGAAGTTGGACAAGCTTTTTGGTGCACCATCAGTCTACTCATTGGGTTCTTGCCAATTTTTTCCATTTGAACAGCTGGCGGTTGTTCATAGTCAGTCTGAACGAATGTGACAAGAACCTGAGTTTTTGACCGAATGTGGCGTTATATTACGTAATACTGTGGCAGCGTGGGCACTAGTCGTCACCAGAGTATTTCTCTTTGTCGACTCGGACCCCAGTCTGAGACCCAGATACGAGACGAGCGGGTGAAGGGATGAGAAAAAGCAACGTCCGGCCTTGTAGGTTTGCTGATAGGCCTTGATTTGGCCACAACATCCTTCCTGCAGGTGCGATCATGTCAAAACATACTACAGCCGCCTGCTCCGTCACGGGCGTTATTGTTCCTCCAACAAAAGTCCACTCGTGGCTTGTATTTTCAAGCTTTGTGCGCATTGTACGGACGCCCGTTTGTATTGGCGGCAAATTCAGACGAAGATAGAGTAGGCAGGGGTGCATAACACAGTCGTTTAAAAGCAAGCGACTTTACGATCCACGTCCATGCAGCGCGTAGCGCTCCGGCATAGGAGTCGTTTGACACTACGCTACGATTAGCATTATGCTGTGACGGCCGCGATGACAATGGCAAGGCAACCCATGTTTTATTAGGTAAGCTATACTGCCCTGAAGAGGTCAGCCTTGAGCAGAGGCTGTCAATGGAAGTCCGGTAGAACCCCACCATCCTGCAGGTGCGACTAGCTCATGCTGCTGACCCAGAATTGCCAACTAGGATCACGCCAACATGACGTAACCCGGAGAAATAGTATATTCCTGATAATGTCCTTAAGTCAAATTGATATTAGCGCTTGATAGATTTACCTTTAACTTAGAAGGCTGTTCAGGTACCTTGTCGTGTACAAAATTCGATCCGAAATACACTGTACATTCTTGTTTCTTCAGCTGATATAAACGCTAGTTCGAAAGACAGGCGCGTGTAAGACCTTATTTTGAAACGATTTTATTAAAAAGCCCTTTTAATAAGATGACTCCGCCAGCGAGCAAATAACAGTGGCACCAAAGACTGCGATAACAACAACCGCAGCCGTTTATAGCCAAATTTTCGCTATCTCCGACCGTTGCCACCCTCCTGGTTATCGCATACCCCGTGCCACGTCCGTTGCCGGTAGACTTCCTTTATCAATAGCGCATCGGTTGCGGAAGCCCTCTTTGCCGCCGATGATAACGATGCTCGTGATAATGCTTGTGATGGTGACGATGCTGATGATGGTGGCTCGCTTAATTTGATAACTCGGTACAGACAAACGGAGCGCGAAAAAGAAAGAATATGATATTGCCCACTGTACACCGAAGATCGCGTCGCTGCCACATCTGGCTACGAACAAAAAAGAAGCCAAAGCGATACCGGTTGCACAGCGACGACGCCGATCATGGTCTTCGTCTGGGACGCGACAATACAAGTATTTTTTCTTATGTTTATGCCCGATCGCCGCCGTCACTGAGCAAAGGACCAGCCGACTTGTCCTTTCGGTGGTCGTCCGATCAGCAAACAGGCCGAACTGGTCCGGTTAGCTGCGACTGCTATTGGCGTAAGTAACGACCAGAGCTCGTACGTGTACCTGCTGAAGCTATAGGATATGTGTGCACGTAGAGAAGTTCCGTAGCCGCAGCGTCATACGAGCAGAGAATCTCGACTGGGTGGTCTCCTCTGATGGGAAGCATCATCTATTATTATACCTTGGCGCAAAGCGGTACCCGAAAAAAGCGAGCGTCGAAGCCTATTGCGGACGCAAATCGATTTGATCAAGCATCTATTATACGTACCCTTTAAGTGTAAGTACATTAGCTATCTAAAAAAGCAGCAACAACGGAACACCATGTCATCTTATATGATTATCATTATTGCAAATATGGTCTCGCCTTTTTTAGTTCTTTTGTCTTTGTTGTCCCATTGACCGCTTGGTTATCCTGCGCGTTTTTAACACTGTCGTTGCGGTTATTGTTGGTAATGCTTATTGTTGTTCCGGCCCCCTCCGATTTCCCAGTCCATAGTTTCATGCGCTTCTTGGCTTTCTGCTATAACGGTGGCTCAATAACTTAATTCAGCCGAAGTTAACGACCTCGATAGCAGCAACACGTGATCAAATCAGCGTAGTAAAAACGGAATAGCAGTCTGATGACTATGCGATCGCAACGCTCATCGGAGAGCAATGGAGGAGCGCCTATACTGCCATGGCCGGATGAATCTAACGCGATTTTAAACGGTCACACTAAGTAAACGCATTGCTTCAAGTTCAGTAGCACATCGTGACCCCGGTGGGTAAATCTACAAAATGGCCACTTAAAGCAATCGGAGATCGACTCTAAAAAGAAGAAAAGAAGATGATTGACCGTCAAAAATAATTTGATCTGACCACTAACGCACGAGTACTTAGGTTCTGTTAGGTTTTTGTTGGATTGCAGGAAGATACTAGTATCTACAAAAACGCAATTTTTATGTCATGCAGAGTCACGAAGGCCCCTGAATGATCGAATGAATAGATCTAATCATAAAGTGTACAGCGCTAGACTGTACCACAGTGAAAATGAAACGTGCACTTACAAATTTCATAGCTTCAATACGATTAGTCGCTAATTTGGCACGACCATGACAAAACGTGTCACATTTTCAAAGGCATATTTATAGCGCATGTGTCATTATCTAATAAAACAAACAGTTAGAAGAGTGCACAAAGGTACAAATAAACGCATGTTTGACACTTGTGGAGTTCAGGCGGCCTGGTACCTTTTACACATTTACTCAATCTTCTGTGATCTGTAACTACGTGGATCGGGATAGCCAGTTAGGCCTCTGTCAAAGAGCCAACCGCGGTGGAAACGTCCGGTCCGTCGACCTGTTATAAAAAAATGACCTGAGTCAGAGCAGGTTGTTATTACCCGCATTGTTCGCATAATCAACAGACTTGTTCCGTTTGTTTTAGACCTTTTTTTACACTCTATTCCTAAGTCATTTTTCTCGAAGACTTGTTTGTTCCAGTCCCCGTTCTTCTGCCCACTCCTCTACTTCTAAACGTTTGTTTTTTTTCTCGCTGTTAGGTATTTTATCATTTTATTGGTAGTGTCCTTGTGCGCCGACTTGTCAGACAAACAGGTCGGCCGGAGGAGCTACTAGACCCGCCTTGAGCAATTTCATGGACCTCCTGGGGGTTCCTATAGCGATAGCAGTGATGCCGATGGCCGTGTTTTTAAGACTGCATCAAGAGTAGGAAAGGCGTAGCATCCAACGGGGATGAGCCACAAATGTAGGCAAATGGACGGATGAACGGACCAGCTCGTTCAACCATATGTCCACCTAAGATGACAGCTACTGCTGTAATCGCTGTTTCTGCCGCCGTTAGCATTACTCTGTCACTCTCGTGCCTCGTCTTGTCCCGGCTCGAAAAGGTTCATTCGTTTAAGGCTCTGTCCGTCGAGTTGCTGCCAACGATTATACATCCTCAGGTAGGTGAAGGTACGCGGTAGATGGCCAGCAGCTACTGCTCCTGTATACTGTTTTGGCAGTTATGGCTATTTTATGGCCTGATGTTGGATGTGGTTTTGGCTGCTCCTTGTCGAGCCGTACTTGCCATTACCTCTCGCAGCAGACGCAGTCAAAAACGGGCTGCCTCGTCATCACCGGCGACGTCGCCCGTCAGGCCAAATGATAAACTGGCCACACGGCGTCCTCCCAGTTTAACAGCCAGCATTTTGACCGCTAGGTCAAAATGGCTACGCCCTCTTTGCTCTATCCCTTCTTCACACTCGCACTCTTCTTTCAACTTCTCTAGATACCGCCCTCCACGACTTCACTCTATATACGATATTATAGAGCAGCAAACAGACAGCAGACAAACCAATCGCATGGGTTTGCATTGAGGTTTACAGTTTGGAAGAGTGAAGAAACATCTGAACCAGTCTGCTGCCATTGTATAATAACACGTCCGAGCTACCGGCCCGGCTTCCTTCATACATATAAAGGAGTAGGTTTATATGAATATTATGTTTTATAAACAGCTCTATCTGTTTCTTGGGCTCCTTTCGTGGGTTTACTGTTCCAGTGTTTCATAATATAGTATTTCACATTTCGGGTTCTAATACTCCACAGGAAGAGCCACAAAAATGGCTTAGCCCAAGTGCATACTCACGCACACATGCCCTGCTATTTATACGTGCATATATTTATTATTCACACACAGACACACACCTACAGAGTGGTCTTGCAGACGGACGCGATCCTCGGACATGCCTTCAGGATGGGATTGCGTCAGGTGATGTAGGTCTGATGGGTCAAGAAGACATTCGCTCTTGAAAACAAATTTTTACTATTTACGAAATGTTCTTTCCTGCCTCCGGCTCTCCCCTTTCGAGGTGCCTGTATGTATATATATTACTTTGATGATCTTTATGTCTGCTAGGCAGCTTCCGGCGGTCGCGCGAGTCGAGACGAGGCGATATATAGAAGCGATTTGAAAATAGCTCGCATTCGAGATTAATCAACGTATTTTAAGGAATCGGAGCGCTTAAGCAGAGTAGTGGCGATAGAAAATGTAAAAGTACGAAACAAAGCCTGGACGAAAAGAAGGTGTCATCGACAAACGCAATGGCAACAACAGCAATGATAAGAGCGGTAAAAAAGTAAAGCTGAAAATGCGTCTGACAGAGGTACTTTATAAGAGAGCCAGGAAAACTAAATGGTAGATGAATATATTTTATCATCCTCATAAATTCAGGTCCTTCTCTCATTTTTTATCCCGGCTTAACATAATCTCTGACTGTCTGTCTGTCTGCGTGTGGTTCGTATGTTTGCCGGCAGGGGGACGCAGTGGACTAACTCGCTAGGAGACAAGCCGAGTTCAACAGCAATATAGACAGTGAATCGTTGAACGAACAAAAAAGGCCGAAGAACAAAAAAAGAAAATTACAACGCATAATAAAACATGCGAAAATTGTTCTACTGTATCGCAATTAATGTTGAGTTTCATAGAAATCAGGCCATCAACGAATGCTGGCAGAATACTCAATTGTTCAAAGCTTTGCAAAGCGCTAAAGGGTTTTAGCAAAACAAGGTTCCATCGTACCGCCGCCCACAACTCGGGACTGAACTCATTTCGGTGTCTACTAAAGGCCACTTGAAAGAAGTATGCTGTCATTGCTGTCAGATAGATCCCAGGAGGGTGTTAGGTCAGCGAAAAGCGGATTTGCTAAAAAAAAGTTAGTACTATTACTGTCAAACGTCATGAAACAACGAATGAAACCAGTTCTTCCTTTGTACCGATCCATGTAAAAAGGGTTAGTTCTTTTACTCTTGTCAACACTTCACACGGTCACGATCGCAAGTTACAAGGTAGCGCAGCAACTTCACGCATCTTCAGAACTTAAATACCACGCAACAACTGACGCATAATCTGGATGCTAATTTGCTATCGTTATGTGGACAGTTTAGCGAGAATGACTAAATAAGAATCTAAGCAAAACTGAGAAGCGCATATAATATTTATATTGTCTACTTTTGACTCGCATATAGTTCGTATTTGCTCGTACACTAAGTGAATAGTTACATCTGCGTTCAGTGGCTGACTTTCGAAGTTCTTTTCGTCGCTTACGATCCCCTGTGAACTGCTGGGAATAGTCCTGGTCCCCAAAAGCCCACGGAAGAAAAAGTGGACCTGGTCGACGCCACTTGGAATGATCCAAGCCTCAGACGACAACGATAACACGACTAGAAACGACAAAGGAAAAATTAGCTGGTAGACTATCCATACTATCTAGCTATTTACATATATTACAGTAAGTACGGTTGATATACGATGTTCCAGCGGCGCTGTCCGTTGTCGTGACGAAACAAAGCGTCACAAAGTACATGCTGTGCTACGTGTACAAGTAACATGTGCTGTCTCAGGGCAACCAGGCTCGTTGCACGCGGCGGCAAAACACCAATAGCAACAGTAACAAAATCGACAACCACAAACGAATCGTTTATCTTTTGTCGCTCCCACCTTCCACGACTTGTCTATGCTGTAAGGGAAAGAGCCCTGACCAATAATGTCAACCCTTGAAGCCTATGCTGTTCCGACTTAATATGCATCAGACGTTGTGTGACTACCGTCAAATGATGGTTAATGTTGGTTTCCCTACAATAATAATTTGGTCTATCATTTTGTATATCTAGAATATAGTTCTGCGCTGCTGGTGGATAACGGCGTAGTCGCCACTCCTGCAGCTGGTGCTAGTGGGTGTCTTTCTATTGAGTTTTGTTGGCTTCATTGAGCTGCTGGGCGTCAATTGATCGGACAGACGACTCTTTTAGAATGTTGGAAACCGTGTTCGACGGGAATCAGCGAAAGTGAAAATCTTAGTGCTGGCCTGTGTGCGTGCATCTGTGTGTGTGTGTGTATGTATCAACGTGTGAACGTGCAACTATACCGCTACGGGACGTAGGAGTCGGTTGCGTAGAAGGACCCAAACGCACGAGCTGGCCACCACCGGACCGTGAGAGGTGTACATACGTATATATGCATGTGTGCGTTTTACTCTACACGACCTAGAGCGACCATTATTGCTGCTGCTGTTGCCGTCGATGCGATTGGTCGACAATTTCTACTAGAAGACAGAAGGGAAAATCATAGTAAAAAAAAAGAATCACTGGTAGTCGTTTAGTGCGTCATAGCAGCGCAGCGAAAAAACCGCGTACATTACACGTAGCTCAGCGTGCTACGCACGAAAGCGCGTACCACCACTGCACCGTGTGCCATGCACACTGGCTTCTAATGGCTTATGCTATGGAAGAGAGCAATGACGGCAGTCTGGCTGGTCACCGAACGGGTGAGCCCCAACACCAGCCGCCAGTCCAACTGACCGATATTAAAATAGTTGTACGGTCTTTCGTTTGTCGTTTCGTCGTACGGAAACTACGAAAAAGCCTGCCAATGGATACGACGGTGAGATACGTCGAGTGCATAGACATGCGGAAACATGATGCACGCGCAGTTACCATGATTCGATGAGGCACTGGCTAGTGGTGCCCAATAGCGCTGGTAGCGGTGAGGCAACGAGTAACCGAGAAGAATTAATATTAGCCGATAAACACGAGCAGTGACCAGAATTATTACGACAATGTGGGCTAGCTTTTATCGATCCAATGACGAATCAGGTTTATGGTTAACGACGTAACCATAATAACGTTTAGTTAAAAATTATAAGTTGATACGATCTAGGACGTGTTATCTGCGAACCGGAGAGTATGCGAAGTGCAGGCGTCGTAGCCTAATTGTGATTGGCCTAAATTCGCTCTTGGTCGAAGAAGAACGTCATAATTGTGCCTACGACCGCAGTGTTTAAGGATGGCTCAACTATTGTGGACAGTCCTTGCACGAGGTGTGGATACGTGAATGTTCTAAACTGAATAAAATTTATACACGTCAACTAATTGATCCAGTCGATTTTGACAACACTGGCAACTGCTACAGAAGGGGTGGTAAACGTAGATTTGTACTATACATATCTAGCCGATTACGTACCATTTGCTGACTGTCTAATGAGAAAAATAAACAATATAGTGCTCTGGTACTCACTCGGGGAAATGTTGAGCATATGACAGGCCACTTGAACGTCGCTGGCTGCCTGTTGAAGGCAAATCGCACGCAGCTGCTCGAGAGCGCCATCGTCGTTGAGTCCCTCGAGGCAACCTGCGGTGCCTGCGGAGTTCCCATTACTGTTTATGCTGCTGCTGCTGCTGCTGCTGCTGCTGCTGTTGTTAGGGGCGCTGTTCGACGTCGCAGGATGAGTTGCTGTGATTTGTTTATTAACGTTCGGTGATGGTGATGAATGCTGCACTTGGTGGAGAAGCACGTCAGCGTACTTCGTTTCGTGGACGTCGGTGTGCCTTGGGGAACAGGTACCGCTGCTGTAGTACTCTGATTCATATGGCGGTGGTGTGGTGGAACCCGCTGACATCCAATACGCTGATTGAGAAGGAGATTGTCTGCTTCGATCGTATTTAATCACGATAACAACAACAGCAACAAAACAAGAATGTAGAAGAAAGAAAAATGAAGATAGATAAAGGTCATACATTGTAAGAACGTCGTTAGCGCAAATGTCACGGACAAACTGACTTGACATTTCTCATCGTCTAAGTAGGCACAACATCAAAAAACCTAATCGACATTAAATAAAAATTACCTGTTGTTGTTATTACTGTTATAGGGTGGGGTAAGCGGTGCGTATCCAGTAATGTTGTTGCCGTTGAGCTCAGTCGATGGCATGTGAGCATGATAGAGTGTAGTTGTAGGTGGAGGCGTGACGCTAGGCGCAGTGTGTCCTGCACGAGGGCTATTCATCCCTGCGCCAACTAGGGCTCCTTGTGGGGATAGAGGCTCGTTTTTCACGAGCCCCAAACCTCCGGTGACGTAATCGGCTTCACTTGACGGAGGAGACCAAGCTGGGCTTGGGTAATAATGGCCGGGTGAACACATCGCCTGTTGATATATGTGAATCACGTCAGGTGTGAAACCTGTAGTAGAAACAAAGCATAAGCACAACAAGACACACGTTATCCAATCAATTCGAGCATTACAAATATGTACAGATCGGCGTTGGTTACCGTCTTTTTGACCAATGGGTGCGATTTTTCCAGCAGTATAGAAAACGTCCTGCTAAACATTTAGGAGTCGCACCGATAGTGACGTCACGCGTATGCATCAAACTATAGTCAGTGGTAACAACGAACGGCTTTACAAACCGTTTCCTTTCAAGCAAATTTCCGACACCTATTCATGCGATTAACTATCGTTCGGTCGGCTAAATGAAAAAAAAGCAGACTACCTAGTACTTCTTCAAACTCCATGATGGCACCAAATATACAATAGACACCGTTGACGATAACAGTGAGCCTTATTGTGTGACAGGCACAACGACACCGGTCGGCTGTATGTGGTCAGTGTACCGAAAGAAGCACAAGTAACAAATAAAAACAGCAGATTAACAAACGATCGCAACGGCACGCTGGACGTATCTCGAGACACCAACGGTGTCCTTCGACACGTCATTAGGATGGGCACAATGTCATCATTTCATTAAGCATTTGATCAAGCTTCTGCTGCGGACGTTAATGCTACACCTATCCTATCCTAACCTACCCCCTTACTCGTGTGGTTCGATGGGTGGAGCGACGCCCGTAAGCGAACCGCTACAAATTTAATAACTAAATAGTTCACGCATTTCGGTTACAAACAACAGCTTATTGTGACTGCGGCTGATGCTATCGCCGCTGGTTCGGTCCAGTGGTCCCGTAATCTCTCCGTTCTCTCCCATGAGAGGGCGAGCGAGTGGATGGATCTCGTACTGACGGAGAAACGCGATGGTACGCTGCGGTAGCATTGGCCGCTTTGTTTACCCCGCTTTCGAACCTTACTGCTGGAGCAGCGACAACCTTAATAATAGCAGTACAATCAACAACAACAGGATTAATAGGTTATTGAACGTGTTAAGAGCGATGAATGTTGAAGATTAAGTAGGTAATCCGTATGACGAAGAATTGGCCACATTCATGTTACTGACAGGGTTGAATCGAGTTATGTCTAGACGATATAGCTACTAGCTAGACTTCCGAGCTAGTACGGTGTAGTTAGACCGGTCTCTCGTAGCGTGCTGGACAAGGTTGACGTTCGAAAACACTTCCACGTCAATCGTCTCGAATGAATATTCGTTCTCACAGTCCTACGTAAAACGTTCCGATTAAGTCGATCGCTAGAAAGCTTCTTAGTAAGCTAGCAGGAATAATCGTTCAACAGCGATGATAGTACCAGTGGCCTTAGTATCGGTAATTATTCCTCGACTCACTAAAAACGAACGACGGCCATGAAGGTTTTGGCAAAACCCTTGCTAGCGTCAAAGTAACGAGGGCCTATTTTCCCAGCTGACAGTAGTTTGCTTCAAACTAGGCCAATGGCTTGTTACTGTTGTACGCCTAATGAACTAAGGACAGGCCTGTTTGGCATCCATACGAGCGTGAAAGAAAACAGAACATCATCATTTTGCCATTACTCAACACATCAATAAATGGTTGAACACCAGTAGCAGCAGTGTTCAATCTATGACGCTTCCACTGCTTAGGCAGCAGGACTTATGTCAATGGCTAATTTTATGACCGGTGGCGTTTCAAAGGTTCGTCGTGCCCACTCTTGTTATGGCCTATTTGTGCCTTTGTTCTGTTCTTTAACCGGGTAGCTGGACGCATTGTACCACCAATATCGATTATGTTCATAGCAGGTACAGCAACGCTCGCAGACATCAGGTATCGACAAAATAAATGGATAGAGTAGCTTCCACTGGGACCGGCGAATCACGAAAATCGCGCATCGACTCCCTCTATACCTCCCCTTTTCAGAATGAAGATAATATTGCAGCGAAACAAACGAGAACCTTTTGCCAGTGACTGACAAAGTCCATAATAGCGCATCACTTGATGCTAGCCGCTGTTACGTATCAAATATTTGAACTATGTGTACATTTCCCGCTTTATTTAGTGCTGATCATTCAGAACAACTGACGTAATGCACGCGTAGAGATATTTACAGAAACTACCAGGCGTTTCATATAAGCTACCGCCATTAACGATGGGTGCTATATAGATATATTTTCGAGTACTTTATCATCTCATCCACTGGAAATATATGCATAACTTTCGATATCGTCGACATTCGCTGAGCAGTATCGCCTTCGGTTGTTGTGTATTGTATACTGAGCAAAAGATTTTCTTCGGAAAGAAGTGTCCCGAAAAGAAGAGGATAAAAAAAGGACAGGAGGGGTTATGGGGCAAAAGACAGAACCGATTTTTTTCCTTTTTGGGCCGTAAGGCGAGGCGCTTTCGCGGTATGTACTAATCACCGTCACCACAGAAACAACAGCAGCAGCAGCATTTGTAACACAACGACGACGATGACGGATCATCATCAACCTCAGTATATCGTATTCTTTGTATCGCTTTTCTGTCCCCACTATAATAACACCCGGCAATGGCAGAAGCGGCAGGAACGCGTGGAGCTGTTAATAACAACCTTACAGACTCACTCCGGTTTCGATACATCACAACTCTGCCCCGCTGTACCCTTCTGTATTGAATGCCTTCCTACCCGATCTATCGAAGGCTTTTCCTATCGCTATCTTTTCTATCGCGATCCTCCGCCACAGTTTGCCATCGTCATTTTTGCTGTTGCCCATGTTTCGCTATGTACAGTATTTGTCAGTGGTCTCTCTCTCCCTCCCTCCCTCTGTCTGTCTCTTCGTATCTTCTGTTTTTTCGTTTAGACAAAGTCGCTTTAAACTTCGTCATCTTCCTTTTCTTCTTCTCTCAGACTTCATCACCAATAAATAGGCGCTTCGGTCATTCGCTTTCCTCGGAACCTGCTCTGTAGCGGTGAATGTTACACGCACAAAACACCACCGCCGCCACGGCCGCCGTCAACAGCGACAACAAGAACGGCCTGCGCTCGGCAGCAGAAAGCGGCAGAAGCGACATCGCCGCAGTCAGATCTACGAATAGTAGTTACCAATTACGAAACGAGGAGACATTCAATAGCAGCAGCATCATCATCAAAGGCACCATATATGTATATACAAATAGATACATACACTTGAATATACACATAGATATACCAGCACATATTGGGTAGGTTCTATTATGGCTTCTGGTCATCGTCGCCATAGTCGCGCTGGTATCGATGATCAGAACGATGCCGGCGGCGACAACGACGACGGAGGCGGCGAGCCCTTTCTATGCTGATAGTTCCTCTCCAGTATTCTACCATAATATTAATAATAAATCACTCCTAATACAGGTAGCAGTATCATAGAAACTATTATCATCAGAGTTATTGAAATTGTAGCGTTGCTCTAGCGGAAGGTCGCTGCTAAGAGAGCTCTTTTCGTCGACAGACCGCCTTTTTACCCAATGACTCTGGGATATAAAGTTCGCGAAAAACCGACCGACACCTGGACCCAACAATGTGGTGACCTCTACCGGCAGCCATCATCAGCTCAATCGCCGCCTCAGGATGAGCGAGCAAATCGCGACCGAAAAAGAAGCAAAAAACAACTATGAAACATCGGCCACATACTTATTCATTTATGAATGTATGTGTGTGAGCGTGCGTACGACTCTCTCAGACTGTCAGTTTCAGTGTGTGATACTGCAACGACACAACGGCAGCGATGAATCACACTCGGTGTACGTTTTTCTGTTCATCGTCTTTCGCTGACGTGGCCATCGATACTCGAACGACTTTTGACCGAGTGCTGACACTGAAAACGATCGAGGTATGAGAACCAATCTATAGATGTTAACATAGGATACTGTGGGCAGGGTAAAAGAGAGAATGCGAAACAGAACGAGGGAGCAGGAGGTCGATGTGTCAGATGGCGCGGGGGGATCGGGGGTGTGGAAAATCCGCAGCGTAGTAACTAATTATCAAGGCTTGGAGTTACTTTTGTCATGGTTACTGAACTAACGAGCCGGCGTACAAGCGTCTCGCTGTAGCGCAGCTGTTGCCCAGGTACAATTGGAATAGCATTGAATGTTGAGCCTTTGGCTTTTCTAGGCCGATCAGCTTGTCATTGCCTATAATGTCGCGAGGAAATCAACAGTAGGCCGATTGCGAAAAGCTGTTTAGATCTTCCCGGTGACCAAAACGACTACTATTCGCGTCCATTTTGTTTGTCAGCTTGTTGTGTCATCATTCTATTGTTATGAGTTGTTTAGGTGCATTTATGAAGGGCTCTGTATATCATTGAACGGTAAGTCCATATTTTTACTGCCATTCATACAGCCGCATTGCTATAGATATTTCGCGATTGAATTACGGTAAAGTGCAGAATTTAAATTTGGGCAATGTCTAATAGTTACGATTTGATTCTCTATTTGATCGATAGGCAGTACTAGCTAAACGTAAACATGATGAACACGATGAGTAAAGTGGATCCGTTGCAATACGAAGCAACTCAATGGCACACATTAGCCAATAGCTTTGGTGCCATACTGTGGGGCGACTCCTGTATATAGATGATGAACTGTTTTGCTTGTATTTTTATTCTGTGTTTATTTTTACTAATGGGGGTTGGTTACCCCTTCAGGGATCCTGCTTTAGCTGAGACGTTGTCGTTTCATAGAACTGAGTCACAGGTCTTCGGAACTGCTTGTCCTAAGGCAACAGTATACCTAAGGTAACTGTGGAAGTTTCGCTGTTCCAAGTAAGCAATTGATGTCGCGGTTGAAAAAGAACTCCTCGGTGACAGCGACGAGTCCGGATCAACAACATAAAAATACGTGTAGGTATAAACGGAGTCCGCCCTGTGCCGCTCAAGCTCATTTATTCCTTATCCGTTCAGATCTTAACTGATTCGAAGCTGTACATAATTCAAGGTACGTCGGCTCGCTGAGTATAGAAAGCGTAAAAAAAAAAAATGAATTCTTCCGAAAAATAATTTCAGTAAAATATTAACCATCCTCTTTTTCTC